CCCACGCGCATTTCACATATCTTCCCCAACTTCACACTGAGGCAAGTTCCGACCAGAGCGTTTCACCCCTGCACCTCACCTGCCAGGACCTCAAGCTGATGGTAACGTGAAGACAACGGGCCCCCTGGCCCCTCCACCCCATACCTCGAGGTTATATTGCGGCCCACACTGCTGCAACAAGGAGCCAAACGGCCCAGTTGGCCACTACATCTTAGTTCCCAAACCTTGACCTAGAGGACCAATTCGTACACAAATTTGTGTCCCCAGCATTTTTTGAAGATCGGACGTTTATTTGTGGATCGGACGGTTTTTGGTTGGGTGCTAGGTTTCGGGCCAGAAAATCAAACCGGACAGAAATCGCAACCGCAACTCGGGCGCAATTTTCCGCAACTCGAGCGCAAATTTGCGCAACTCGGGCGCAATTCTGAAAACTGTCCAGCCTTTGGTGGAAGCATGTAGAAACGGGCGCTTTTTCCGAAACCGGACGCTCTTTCTCACGGTAGAACCGACAAAAGTGAGGGACGCAAATTTGTGTATCAATCGGTCCTCTAGGGAAGTTACAGAATCGCAGTCTTTGCTGGCCCTGGATGCGTGCACGGTACCTGGCAAACGTCAAGGTTACAAAGCAGCTTCCATAGTGCTGAAGAAAGGCTGACGGATCGGGTCCAACCAAATCCGCGCTCGGGTCGCCATATGAAGCTGTCGCACACCTTGACGGGAACAATGGATGTCAAAGGCCCCGTTTCATCCAAACTGAGCTCCAGCGTTTCAAGCTGCCTGAATTTTATGTTGGCTCATGGCTACAAAGGACCTACTACACCCACACAGAATCCTAAAAGGGCCACACCGATGCGAGTGTCCTTGAGTGATGAACCCAATACAATATCTATTTATGTCTGTTTGGCAGAGAGTAAGGAGACCGTAGGCTTGCTGAAGTGGGATCGGGGCGCCCGCTGCGCTGGCGAACCCTAAACCCTAAACCTAAAACCCGAAAACCTAAAACCTTAGGTCATTCCACCTTCCAGTTACAGTTACCACAAGAAATAAGAAGAGTTATGATGGCCCCGTAATAAGACCCCTTTAAGGACAGTTACTGGGAGGGAGCCTGACCCAACATAAATCGCTAAGGAGCCCTCAAGATTCGGGCTAGTCAGGTGGTGCGAAGCACTATGCGTGCTAGCCAGGCCTTGAAAGACCTGTACATCGGTGGCGGCAGCTATCGAAAGGAACTCCAACCAGGACTGAGCCACGCTCTGGGTAGCCTGCCAGAACACATGGGGAGTTATGGGTTTAGGGTTGAAAGAGTGCCAAAATGTTACGGGAATGGAGAAGTAGATGGAAAGGAAGATGGACAATTGAATCGAAACTGGGATCATGAAAGGCTTCTCGAGATTGTTCGGCAACGAGGGCTTGGCTCGCTGTGAGTGACATGGCTTGGTGCACACCTTCGGGCTCTTTGCCGTGTGCCCCGCATCAAGAACGAAGTGTAATGGGCCGCGACCCCTGACGGCGCCAACACAGCGCAGGTTCACATCCAAAAAATGAACTTGTTCGGCTTCCTTCCTGTAGGAAAGTATAGGGCTCCAACCCTAAACGCTAAACCCTGAACCCTGCACCTACAGTTGTAGTACGGACTGTCCTGCACCCAAGGTGCCGCAGGTTACTAAACTGTATCTACAGGCTTCCTTCCCCTGCTGGCTCTCAGAGGCAAATGAGAATATGTATATATCCTATAACCATTACATAGGGGCTATATTCCCCTATTACCTACTAAGAACCAGTAAGTTACAGAGTTGTTACACGCCACGGAGCCGTGCCTGCCGTGTAAATGCCTCGAAATGGACTTGGAAACGCTGTGGCAAAGCCTCAGACTTCGGGTGGAGGGTTTGGGATCTAGGGTCTAGGGTTTAGGGCTAGGGGTTGTCTTCAGGAATCCAACGAATTGACCTTCCCACAGTAGCGAGATCCGGGCTATAAGTCCCCTTAGATATTTCAACAGTTTCCGCTCCGTGGGGCTCCAGCGAAGCTGTCTACTTCTTGTAAGGTATTTCCAAACGACGAGGACATCGTGCCCGTCGTCCTTATGGTGGAGCCCTTGCGAGCCGTGATTAGAAGTGCGTTGCAAACTCCTGAATCTAGTGCTGCATGCATTCTCAGGAATAAATTCATGCTCCTTCTCTGAGCACAGTTAACATGGCCTCCTGCATTTGCACTGGAAAGCAGAACGGAAACTACTACATTACAAGGTTACTGTCACTTCTCTTCTTTTCCCCGTCCCGCTAGCATTCACTCCGGCAAGAAAAGGACTCGATCGATGAACTGTCATAGCTTACCAGTCAGCAGAATCCGCAAGAGCGTACTTCTCTGGAGCGAATGCTGGTGACTTGCAGCACCGGAACCTCTGAAGTAGCTCATTGCATCTGAGCATGGCGCCACCACCCTGGGCCTTTGGAATCCCGGAAATGCCTGAAAGAGCCCTCTAAAAGGTTATATAGGAGTCATATAGGGATTCTATATTCGTCATAGGGGGGTATATAAAGGGATTATATGGGAGTTGTATAGGATACCCCAGGCCTCTGCCAAGTGCTTTAAGAAGTCCAAGATTTGTTCCCAGCAGCTGTTGATTCCCTTGTGCGCAGCCGTCGCAAGAGCAGCAAAAGCTGCTACCGCGACCTCTAACGAGGAGGCTGCGGCAGGTTTTGCGCTCATTGCAGTTACAGTATGCCCCTTCAAGATAGGAATAAATGGGGGAGGTATGATATGGCGTCTAGTCTCATAGCAGTTTCCTTCTTTGTTGTGGCAAGCAGGGCACATATTGCCACTACAGAGAATTGTCCGTGTTTTGAATCCCTCAATGTGGTAGCTTCCCAAGATCAACCCCAATATACTATAGTCCTCATTATAGGGACCCTCAAATAGGTACCCCTAATTTCGGGAAACCTCAATGTGTTGTGTGTTCTCACCGACCATCCCTCCATTTGCCTGGGGCAAAATTTACAGCAACTTACCATTGAAGCCTTCTCTTAAGTTCCCCAGTAACCCCAGAATAATAAGGGTACCCTTTTTCCTAGTGGTCAATTTCAATAGGGAGACCTCAAAATGAAAAGGGAAAAAGGGTACTACTTGGGTACCTGACCTCTTGGGAAGATACAAGGCTCCTTGCTTGGCCTTTGAGGTGGGTCCAGATTTTCAATCGTACGCCTCAGGGGATATGACCCCAATAATGGAGGATCACATGGAAACAAAATGGAATATGACATGGAAGCTCGACTTATATACGGAGTTTATAGGGGCTATGTGTGTGGGGCTTTAAGCCCCGGAAGAAGAGCCGATCTGTATCCTTCATCTGCGTAAGAACCCTTCCTTGTTTGTATCTGTTCATTGAGGGGTTCTCATAAACAAATCGTTAGGCTTACTTGGTTGTCCTTTAGAACCCCTTGAAAATAAAGGCCAGCTCAGTTTATGCCCAATTCCTAGCATCACAAAACCTACATACAAAGCCCCGGAATCCAAAACTCTCAAGCCCCCATGTGGCACCTTGGAACGATGCACGGTAAAGCGACGGGCGCGGCTACACGGAGCCAAAGGCGCCATGTCTTCGGCAAGGGCCGGGATGGAAAATGTGCTGCGGCCAAGGCCCCAATCTGAAATGTGGAGATAAGCTGTAATCTAACTCGGTCAATTACTATGTAGGCTTTGCATATCTCGCTTTGGGGCTGTGCGGTGTTGCGGAAAGCGGAAGATGCCCCAGCGCCGAGAACAAAAGAAAGTCGAAGGCCCGACCCAGCAAAAAAAACTGAAATGATAGGAACCTTGACTTGCTTTGTTACTGGGGATTGTCGCTCAAGCGGCGTTGGCAAGGAAAACATCAACTAGCCACGTTTTGACGGCAGAGTTGGCCATTCAAAAGGCCACTCTTCACCCCCTCCCCTAGAGCCAGAAGCAGCGGAGAGGCAGGGCATTACATCCTCTAGGCTGAAGGCAAAATCTGTTTAGGGTTAGGGTTTAGCAGGGTGTAGGGTTTAGGGTCTAGGTGGGTTGAGGGTTTAGGGTTTAGGAGGGTTTGGGGATTTTATGTCTGTGTGAAGCCTCATGTTAGTTTACCGACTGGCGCAGCCTGTGAGTTCAGCCTCGCAATGCAGCAAGAGCCAGTTTGGAAGAGACGCGCCAGTTTTCAAACCCTTTGTCCTGTAGCTCAATGGTTGGGCCGCATGGCATGTTACACGTCTGGCATCAGGTTGCAAGGATATGAGCCATAAACTAAACTCCTGGTATCCCTTAATAAGATACTACCCTCTAGAATCCCCTATGTAACGCTTTAAGGAGTTTAGACTATAGCTCATATTCTCGACAAGGTTGAAGCCTTGGCCTAACCCTGAAACGAGGGCTTGGGCTCTCGAAACGCACAGGTGTGACTGAGCCCGAGTTTAGGGTTTAGGGTTTAGGGTTTAGGGGGCGAGCACCAGGCGAACGAAAACCTAAACAAGCGCTGGGTTCGCTTTGGATCACGGGACGGCTGAAGGGCCCTATCCTTTTAAAATGCTAACCTGAGGATAAGCTACCGAATCATGATTGCAATACCTCGCAGCAGCGATATTTTGCTCACGTGGATCGGTCGCGCAAGCACCACTTTCCGCTGGGAGATGGTAGTTTCCAAGCAAGGTTGCTTGCTTTTGGGGTTCCCGTTCTTGGCGCTAGGGGTGGGGTACTTGGGTATTGCATTTGGGCGTAAAAGTATGAAAGGCTTAGGGTTGCATGCGTCCCTTGCTCAGGATGGCGACTCTTTTTTTGAAGTCCATGTAAGGCAACTACCGGCTGGGGCGCGCGCCGTGAAACAGCTCACATATGCAGTGACCCAGAGCTTCTTACATGTTGTGTTACGATGAGCACTTGGGCCTGATATCACCAGAAAAAGGAAACCAAAACCAAAAACCAAACGAAGGCATCCGCAACACAATGATATGCAAAGCCTAAGCACCCATAAAGAAATCTATCAGGGGTCAGAGGAAGGAAGCGCCAAATCTTTGCTTTGGGCGCTCCGGAGACGACTCCTGAGTGGTCAGTTTAGGGTTCAGGGCTCAGGGGAGGGCTTAGGTTAGGGTTTATAAGCTATAACCGACGTACATGGTACCCGCAACATTTCCACAGGCCAATCTTCAATGCTTCATGCTGGACGAGGGGCAGTGTTTGTGCAGGTCTGCCGAACTTTGGAAATTGTGGAAAGTGTAGAAGAATGACAGCTACAATATTGTTACTCGTCAGCACACAGTGACATTGTCTTTATTCGCAAAGGCCCGAATTAAACCTCCCTGAACAGCACTGAATTGGGGTCCTTTGCTGATGTATGCCATGCTGGGTGAGGGAACTCTGAAATTGACCCCGCTTCAATCGACTTGCCTCTGGCTAGCAAGGAATGAAGGAATCGATCTCTTTTTTAGTCAGCATGTAATTCCCAAGAGTTGAGTATTTTCCCCTATCTTTTTTCCACTATCTTTTCCCATCCTTAATTCCTCGCTAACCAGAGGTAGGTAAACCATCATCCTGTGCAAGTAAGCTCAGGCCGCCACCCGCTCCAAGAAAGCGCGGGACCTGGGGCAGAGGAAGCATAAGTGAACCCAAGCGAGCAGCTTCCCAGTAGTAACTGCAACCCCACACGCACACAAGATTCACAAGATGTTCATAGAGCGGAACCAGGGGTGACGGTTAAGAGATGTAACCTTACTTACGTAGTCTGTTCACTCGCTGTTTAGTCCAGAGCTCGACGGCAAGACAGTAGCAAAGCAAGCTTGACAAGTTAACTGACGAAAACAGTGAGCACTTGTTTCGCCAGAGTTTCCCAAAAGCTTCAGAGATGGGGTTCTCAGGTAAAGCTCCAATAGGTCTTCTCCGTTCGAGTTTCAGTGCTTGCGGCTGATTTACTAAGGTGTTGACCGTTATGGAAGGCTTCATGCGGCTGTAGCTTGGCAAGGCTGTCTGCCGTGACTTCAACTACAAGAGCCCGGACAGGATTTGCAACTACCCCAAGAAGATAACCTCCACCCGAAAACGAAACCGACTGATACCGATACCTGGCGTTCACTCGAGCTTCTTCCCTGGATTCCCGGCAACGCTGACCTCTGAGACAGTCAGGGGCCTCAATCCTAAGCCCTGTACCCCCGTAATGGAAGGAAACTGAAATGGAAAAGAAAATGGACAGAAACATGGAAATGAAATGGATACGTGGATTAGATAGGGTTTGTAGGTTGCTGGTCTATAAGCCTCCAACTCTGCAACCTGAATCTCGTACCTCTCGTCCAAGAACGGAGGCGGGGCACTCTTGTCGGAATACAGTTGCGTCTAAGTAGCACGTTAGCCACGCAATGATGCGAGGATAACACACGTAAGAAGACGAGCAACAGTATCTGCAATTGAGACATCAACAGGGATTCTACTGATCCCGGTAGACTGAAGTAGAAAATTGGGAGGGAGCAACTTCAAGTACCTGAGCGGGGACTAGGTTGCCCGGCAGATAAAGCCACTCCGCAGGTGGCCCCGAACTCACCTGCTTCAGTATCGAGGCCTTTAGCCTCTAGACTTGGTCTCGGGTTTGGGCTTAGGGTTTAGGGTCTTGGAATAGTTGAAGAGAGAATGTGGAAGACTACGGGGCCGGATCTTGCGAAGGGCATCGAGCATCGGTTTTTTTCTAGGAGTTGCGAGGGCCTTGAGGAACCGTTATAAGAAAGTATAGTACTTCCTCATCTGGGGACGTTGCAGAAAAGGCATGGCTTCTTTAGCATACCCCAGGCTCAGCTACTCAAGAAAAACACCGCGCAACTTCCATGGGATGCTCTTGGCGCTGCACATTTTCAAATCATTTGAAGGCGGTCTGTGAAGGGCCGTAGGGGGGATAATGGCAAGTAATGCTCGTGATATAGCAAATTTCAAGATGTGCCTTACACCGTACACCCTCAGGCCAACCCCAGAAACAGCCCATGCCAAATACCGACAACAATGGAGTCGTTACCAAACCTCACTAAGCCCTGTAACAACCCTGAACCAAGCCAAACCGTGCTCAAGGGCAGGGAAGAGCGCTGCGATTGCTTAAGTCGGAGCTGGGCCAGTGCTCCAATGACTTCAAAAGCCCAGCCCTTTTACCACTCAAAGTCTCAAACCTCGTTAAACTTTGCACAATGCATGTCGATTTATGGTTTTCCCAACGCAGACCTGTCTTGGTCTTGCTACGTTTTGGAGTTTAAGTTTAGATGCTTTGCACAAGTCTTCACAAGAAAGAAAATACATGAGAGAGTCTAGGCAACAAGTGAGAACTGCCCTGCAACGGACAAAGCAATCCACCACCTCCACAGGCAGATTCGGCCTCAGTTGCAATGGTATGGGGGAACTACCTAAGTCTACTTGGTTCGGGTTCCAAACTTTTGAGCAAATGCTTGGAGGCATCAAAAACCTGTAGAAAGCAATTAGTTGCGCTGCGCAGGCGCGAGGTGAAGTCACGAGGTTTGGGGATCTTGATGAAGCGAACCATGTTGAACGACTTGGCTCAGCATGCACGCCAAAATTTGCAGACCGAGCAACATGACAGACAGGTCTACCTTCGCAAACGACAGCTTCGTAACAGCGTACCCATCCTGAAGCAGATTGAAGCTGCAACGGATAGAAAACATCCCAAAGGGTAAGACAGTCTTCCTGAATCCAATGTATGCTGGGAAGATCTTAGAAGACCACATCTGAATCCAGATCTTAACCGGGACTGCCGAAACTCAAAAGTCGTTGACAGCAGCTGGCACGAAATGCGTGTGGCCTTGCCAGTTCGTACCAAAATGCAAAATAGTAAAGGCTCGAGATAGCGACTTGTCAGAGAGCGATCCCTACCCCAAGCCTACAAACAGCAGAGTAATCGTATCCCCTAAACCCTAAATCCTAAACACTAAACCCTAAATCCTAAACTCTAAACCCTAAATCCTAAACACTAAACCCTAAACCCTAAACCTAACATGTTAGCCCATCTTGGGAGCCCACGGAGGTCGTGATAGCGGGATGTGCGAATCTTCCAGCAGCTTCACTGCAGCCTGGTGGGCCTCCGCAACAGCCCATTGCCTATATAGTCCCCTATATAACCCCCTTTTAGAGGTTAAGACTATACCCCCTAAACCCTAAATCCACCCCAGGCTGTTGGGATCAGGCTTTGTGTCTGAGGATGAAGATTACGAAGCGAAGATGTCGTGCTCAGCCCATGGTTGCTGCTTGGGATTCAGCAGTGCTGCAGCCTGAGGCCGCTCATTGTGGCAGCAGCTCTGTAATAAACCCTATTACCATTATTAGCATTTTTACTATTCATACTACTCTAACAATTATTACCATCATTACCATTACTAATATTGATGCTACTATTATCCTTATTACCATTATTACCATGATTAATATTGATGCTACTATTACCCTTATTAACACTATTACTATTGCTAAACTGTTTTCAGGCATCAAGGAGTGAGGCCTGTGGATAGCATCATGCGGTTGTTGAGCTGCCAGCAGCTCAGGGCAAAAGAAAGAGAGAGTTTAGGGCTTAGGGCTTTGGTGGTTATAGTCCTATATTGGATAATGGAAAAGAAAATGGAAACTACTATTTAGGGTCTAGGGTTTGGAGAGGCAGGACTTAAACCATAGTTGCTCTCCATTAGAAAAGCTGGTTGCAACGAGAGCCAACCTCCATACAACATTTTTTAACTTCTTTGGTGGCAGTAAGGTCACGTGGCAGCTGGATAGATGAGCTCATGTTGTGCCCCTATCTGGATGTGGCAGGAGCCAAACAAAAAAGGGTTGCAAGTAACGTGGTACTGCAGCTTCCTGCTCCCAATATGGCCCACATGCTTAGTCTCCCGCATCAAAAAATCAGTGATCTATCGCAGAACTTTCCAAAATCAACCTCTCATAAAGACTTCATAGCCTCTTCTACTCCCCACATACCCAGGGTTCTCAGGGGGCCCCTTTTTGGAGGAAGGCGCCATCTCTGGGGAGAGGAGAAGGCATGACTGGCATTGATCAGAGCAAGCCTCAGACCAGAGCCCTAAACCACGTTCTTGCAGAATGCTATATAGTTTAGGGTTTAAGGTTTACGCTTTAGGGGGGATGTCAAGACTACGGTCCCTATTGGGTGAGCAACTCTTAAGGGCCTTATAGTATACTGGGGGCCCAGAAAGGGGCCATGATTTTGACAACCTACGTTACCATGTGATACTTTCGTATAGTGTATCCCAACAGGCGCTTCAAAACCATCATCTACTGTACTAGTCCGCAAGTGGACACGTCAGCCAGCTTCTGCTTGCCCTGAATCTGAATTGTGGATTTCGCGACTCAGCCTACAGTAATTGAGAGAGGAGTTGCAGAGGTTCAATGCAGTAGCCAGTGAAGAAGCCTGCACAGACGACAGTACTCAATCATTTTGGCTTGTGCATGGCTTTGAGGGCAGACGTGGGCACCCCGGAACTTTACTATTACAAGAATGGACAAGAATTTAAGAAAGGAACCCACAGTCCACTGCCTGCCGAGCGAAGTGCTCCTGAAATTGCAGCGGCTTGTGGCCAAATATGTGTCTTTATACAGACTCTCTCAGGCAAACCGTAAAAGAGGATCCCTAATTCAGGTCGCGACGTAAAAGGATGACAAGCTGGTGCTTAAGCATGGCATGGTCGGTAGGTTTGATGTCAAGCAAGGAAATGCAGGAGAGGACTCTAGCTGTGTCAGCTGTGTGGTCTGGAGCTAGAACGATTAGAAGCATGCGTTGGGCTTTGCCTGGCGCATGCTTGCATAAAAGGCTGTGTTCAATGGCTAGGCCAGTGTGTATCCTAGGGTCCTAGACTAGATCTGTACGGCCATATACTACAAGGATGATTTAACGAATCTTCTCCATCAGTGTGTTGCTTGGAGTTGAGGCTTGAGGCCTACTCCTAAAACCTCTGCCCAAGCCACATGTCCTTAGAGCACCAAGCCAGTACCTTCAAATTTCCTTGAGATGTTGGTTTCGATGCCCCTTCTTGTACAGGTCGACTCCAATTCTTTGGGGCATCTGGGTGGTTGTCAAAATTATGGTCCCTTTTCGGGTCCCTATTATAATACGGGGCCTAATACGGGGCCTAATTTAGGGGACCCAGAAAGGGACCATAAT